TCCAAAACCCTTTGTTATGGTCCTGCTCAGAGCAGTCAGTGGTGGTAGCCAGGCACAATCTAGCTGTACTGGACTCGGGCTGGTGGAGGCCTTGGTAGCTGTGGTCCATTAGTCCTTTAGACTAATCTTTTCCTTATATCTTGTTCTCTTCATTCTTCTTTGCTCCTGAAGGGGTTAGATGAGTAGAGTATCTTAGATGGCTGTTCACAGGCTTTTAAGATGCCAGGCACTATTCACCAAGGTAGAATAGAATGTAGACCATTGTCTTTATAAACTGTGTTACGCCAATTGAGCTAGATGTTCCCTGAGACCATGGTCTCCACAGCCCTTCGCCCAAGAATTCAGTCCCTCAGGGAGTTTGGATGTGACTATGGAGCTTCCATGACCTTTCTTTGTGCAAGTTGTGCTGGATTCCCTTGTACTGTGTACTGGCTTACCCTTCACCAAATTTACCACTGATCTATTGTCTATTTAGTATTCCCTCGCACCACTCCCATCCCTCATAACCAACAAAGATTGTTACTGTTTGTGTGTAAATTTTTTCATGAGTTTTTACCATAGAGGTCTCATACAATATTTGTCCTCTTGTGATTGACTTATTTCACTCAGCATAATGTCTTCCAGTTTCATCCATGTTATGAGATGAAGTTTTCTTTGTTCTTCTTACTCTCTTCTGCTGAATTCTTTTTGTTTGTGGATTTTTTTTTCCATTTCTTTTGTTTTTGTAGATTTTGTTTGTACCGAGACTTTATGTTTTTCCTCTTTATTTTGATGAGTAGGTTTGTTAAATTTGTGGTTACTGTGAAATTTACCCTTATATTTCTAAGTTTGAAGCAGTCTATCATTACTTGGTATCGCCGTGCCTTCCTCTTGATTAGAAGGTTCTATACGTACACTGCTTATTCCCTCTGTTACTGTTCTGATGTTGTTGTCATTCACAGTTTAACTGCTCTTATTCCCTGTAGTATTTCTTTTGGTTTTGGATAGTCCTTGAGAGTTCATTTCCTACACTGGTATCTGGCTGGTACGATCATGCATCCTAGATTTAGCCTGTGAGCTGATGTTGTTTCTTCTCTAACAGAAGGACTCCCTCTAATAATTCTTGTAAATTTGACGTGATTTTTACATATTCCCTTAATTTTTGTTTATATGGAAATGTCCTAATTTCACCATCATATTTGAACAAGAGTTTTGCAGGATATGTTATTCTTGGCTGGCAATTTTTGTCTTTCAAGGTTTTATGTATGTCATCCCATTGCCTTCTTGTCTGCATGGTTTCTGCCAAATAATCTGAGCTTAGTCTTATTGTTTCTCCTCTGAATGTGACTTCTTGTTTTTCACAAGCTGATCTCAGGATTCATTGTTTATCTTTGGTTTTGGTGAGTGTGCTTATGATATGCCTTGGTGATTTTCTTTTGAGGTCTATCCTATATGGGGTTTGTTGATCCTCTTGGATGGCCAGCTTTTCATCTTTCTCATTATTGGGGAAGTTTTCTGTCAGCAGTTCTTCAATGATCCTCTCTGTGTTTTCTGTTTTCTCCCCCTGTTCTGGAACTCTGATCACTCACAAATTTTTGCTTTTGATTGTCTCCCACATAATTCTCAGGGTCTCTTCATTTTTCTTCACTCTTTTTTCTGAGTTTTCCCCAAGCAGAGTTGTATCCAAGTGTTTGTCTTCCATTCCTTTGATCCTGTCCTCCACCATTTTAAATCTGCTCCTCAGCCCTTCTATGGTACTGTCCATTTCTGAAATTTTGTTGTTTATCTTTTGGATTTCTAATTGTTCTTTTTGTATGATTTCTAGTTGTGAATTTATTTTTGATATTTTGTTCCTGCATTATTTTCCTGAATTCTTCCAATTTTTTGGTCTGTATTTTCCATGAATTTGTCTGCCTTTTCCATGAATTTGTCAATTTTTTCCTCATTTTTGTCTGCTTTTTGCTTCAACTCTTGGATAGCTCTGAATATGAGAGATTTGAATTCCTTATCAGATAGTTCTAGTCCCTTTTCTTCTACTGGAAAGTCATCTGGTGTTTTATTTTGGACCCCTACTGGAACGATCCTGTCCTGTTTTTGTAAATATTTTCATATTGTCTGCATCTTCGGGACATTCAGTAGTTATTTTTCTCATTTATTGATTGTAGATTTATTTGTTTCATCCTGCTTTTTTTGTTTTATTTGTCTATGTCTGAACAGGTGGGCTGAGTGTTTGTTGCTGTTTGCTCCTCTGTGGGCATGATACTTTTTGCCTCCTTCTCCAATTGGCAGTGTCAGTTGCTCAGATATGATACAGCAGGGCAGGTCTAGCTGAAGATGAGTTGCTGTGATGGGTTGTTTGTGGCATTTACTATGGCCACCAGGTTGGGCCGGTAATCAGTACAGGGCAGATTCCAGTAGGGTGTGCCCAGGCTGCTTGTTGGTGTGATGTTCATCACATGGTGCAGTAGGCAGGATGGAGGGGGAAGATTGTGATGTATGGAGCTAAGATGGGTATGGGAAAGAGGAGAGAGGAACAGGAGCCAAAACATACAAACAAATAAAAAAGAGTGCTAGGGGAGCTTGCCATTGGAGTGGAGAAATGAGAGACTATGAAATGGAGAAAAACAAAAAGGAGAAGAAGAAAAAAAGAAAAGATAAGAAAAAAGTGAATATACAAAAACTTGAAAGAAAAAAGAAAAACAAAGATCCCAGGATCCCACTGGTGCAGCTATGAAGTCTGGGAAAGTTCCTCTCAGGCTATGTTGTACAGCCTGGCTAGAAAGGGTAGAGGTGTCACTCAGCACCAGGTACTCAGGGGACAGGAAGAGAAGGAAAGTATAGAGAGACAAGAAACTGAGTAATGAAGAAAAAAGGGAAAAGAAAACAAAACAAACAAAAAAAGAACAAGACCCCCCCCCCCAAAAAAAAAAAACAAGAAAAAATGTCCTCAGGGATCCCTGTGCACATCTGCGCAAACTGAGGGGGTAGGTCCCAAGCGCATAGTACTGCCTGGCTAGAACAGGCTCCCAATTTAAGAAAAACAGAAAACAAACAAACAATTCAAGGCAAACAAACAAACAAAAAAGCCCTGGGATCCCACCAGAGTGGCAGCACGGGTCGGGAAGTAGTCTCACATTTGAGTGGCGTTTCACAGACTTTCAGGAAGAAGCAAAGATGGCGCACTGAGCCAGGTATTTGAGAGAAAGGAGGGGGAGGTGGTGAGAGGTAAGGAAGAAATCTAAAGCAACAGAAAAAAAAAAACAACACTAGCAGCCAATAAATGGCACTTAGGGAGCCAGCCAGTGTGGGCGGGTGGAATCCAAGTGACACCGGGGTGAAGCTGGTTCTTCCTAGCCAAGAGACAGTGGCCGTAGGAAGCAGAGAAGGCCAAGTGGGGGTGAAGAAGGGTGGGGGGTGGGAAAGCAGCTATTGCTCATTACCGGTTATTCTGTCTCCTACAGGAAGCTCCGTGAAGCTGCTTTCTCATACTTCTTGTTCACCGATCTCTGATAGGGGTCCAAGATGTCTGATCCGTGCTGTGTTAGCTGATAAGGGACCTGTACATGTATCTCTCCTTGCTCTCTGTTCTCGGTCAGTTTCTTATTTCATTCGGTGCTTCGCTGACTTCTTTATCTCTTCATTCGCTGCTTAGGGTTTCAAGATTCCCGTTTTCTCTGTTTGGCTTAGTTTTTTTCATCTTTGCTGTGGAGGGACAGTGTGGTGCTTCTGCCTATAGTGCCACGTTGCCCGGAAGTCTCTAATTTTATATAGCTAGTCAAGATTGACTTGACAGCAATGGTTTTGGTTTAGATATATTTGGGGGAGTCATTTTATGGAATTCCTGAGTAATTTTCTTGTTTTGACTGAAGCTTTTTAAAGGACAGCATTATATCAGTCAACCCCATAGAGGCACAATTCATAAAATTAATTCCATGGTTTTTGTGTGTGTGCTGATAGAATAAATTAAAAAAAAAAAAAAAAACAAGAATACATTCCTTGTTTCCTTACCCTCTGACCTCCCACTGTGACTCCACTAATTTTCAGTATGATAGAGGGGTCAGGATTTGTGGTGAACATTAGCATGACAACATTACAAAGCAGCCCTTTCCTACTCTGAAGTGAAGTAGCTCTCCTACCTAACTTAGGACAGGAGCTGAGATGGGGGTACCTAGGTGAGTGATTAGGGAAGGAGAGTTCTCAGGAGAAACTCTTAGGGAGGAGAGAAGCAGGATGAGGCAGGGAATAAGCAGGCTAGAGATGTGGATTCCTCTGCAGGAAGACCCCAGTCACACCCACTGAGGGGACTTGGCCCTTACAGTTGTCCCCCTTTTAGGCAATGGGTCTGTCTCTGTACCTATATCAGTAGGAGGCCATGCAGCCATGCCCTGGCCGAGGAAGGGCAGGAAGCCTGAACTGCCAGGCCAAGCTCCTCAGAGAAGAGTGGGCAGTAAGCTGGAGCAGTGGAGCTCACAGAAGCTGGGGTGGGTGCATCAGCCCCTTTGAAGGGGATTAGAGGCTCCAAAGGAAGAAGGGCATCTAGATTGGGAGGGAAGAAGGTAAGCAAAACAATTACTGCAATAGGAGGTGAAAGGTTAGATCGCGACTGTGGGATTCAGAAGGGTACTGATGGGCGCCAAATGACCCTCTGTGGGTCAAGGGCTTTTAGTGGGAAACTGGCCACACTACTTTTACTATAATTTAGAGCACAAAATTATAAATAATATTGAATGTTATAAAATGATTATGTGATGTGTGGCCACCCAAAGTTAGAGTCTTTATAGTCTACAAACTGCTTAATACAGATCTAGAGGAGGAAAATGACATATAGAAACAACTGACCTACTTAGTTTTTTCTTTTCTTGCTCGTCATAATACTTAAAAGATGAAGCAACCAAAGATTTCAAGTCTATTAGATGAACTAGAGTTATAGCAATTTTTGCCAACAATAAATATATATATTATTCTCTGATATTCTTTGTTTTATCTCTTTATTAATCTGAATTATGCCTCAGTCATCTTACTGTATTGTTGGGATGGTAGTTGAGATGTAAGCCACTGTCACAAAGAGGAGAGGAGGTGCCACTGCTCTGGTCACTAGGAGCACCTACAAAAAACAAAATCACAAAATCCCAGTAGTTAAAATGCTATTCCATCCTAAACTGATACATTTCACATTGTATTTAAAATATATTTAGTGATATCAAATAAATCAGGTATTAAAATAAAACTTATTATTTTATTGACATCAAGAGACCCATAAATATTTGTTTTCGTTTTATTTCAAAAACATTTAGGCTTTACTCAGGAAAACATGGAAACCCTGGTGGCATAGTGGTTAAATGCTACAGCTGCTAACCAAAAGGTCGGCTGTTTGAATCCTCCAGGCGCCCCTTTGAAACTGTATGGGGCAGTTCTACTTTGTCTGATAGAGTCACTATGAGTCGGAATTGACTTGATGGTAACAGGCTATTTTTTTTTTAATTTTTTTTATTGTACTTTAGATGAAGGTTTACAGAACAAATAGTTTCTCATTAAACAATTAGTACATATACTGTTTTATGACATTGGTTAACAACCCCAAGACACATCAACACTCTCCCTTCTCGACCCTGGCTTCCTTACTACCAGCTTTCCTGTCCCCTCCTGCCTTCTAGTCCTTGTCCCTGGTCTGTTGCACCCCGTTAGTCTCATTTTGTTTTATGAGGCTGTCTAATCTCTGGCTGAAGGGTGAACCTCAGGAGTGACTGCATTACTGAGCTAAAAGGTTTTATTTTATTTTTTTTAACGAAAACATATAACCTTATTAAAAGCACTACGTCGTTTCATTATTCAAAGTGGATTACACTTCTAAAATGAAAAATAACCAAACCTGTTGCTGTAAAGTCAATTCTGACTTATACTGACCCTATGTGTTACAGAGTAGAACTGAGCTCCATAGGGTTTTCTTGGCTGTAATCATTACGGAAGTAGATCACCAGGTCTTTCTACCACAGAGCCACAAGTTTGGTTTGAACTTCCAACTTTTAGATCAGCAGCCATTTGCAAACTACTTGTACCACCCAGGGGCTTCTAAACCATACTTATAATAATGCAGGCGTTAGCTTGTCTGCAAAGTTTCATTTAATGTCATCTTTCAACCTACCAGCAAATCCTATGTTTAGGAACCATAATTTTCCATGATGAGTAAAAAATTTGCATGTGTTCTGTCTTTATAAGAGTTCTTAGTAGGCACTATAATTGGGAATATCATGGAAGATATCTAACATTGCACAATAGGAACAGCAAAATGTCAGATTAAGCCCTCATGAAAAACCTGTTAATATTTATGATTTAAGGATAAGTAATGCCAGTCTCAAAGACATTTTATTTTCCAAAATAGCAAAACTTACTAGGTCTTAGAGTCAGGATTAGAATACATCTTTTAAATTTCTTATTAATTATTTATTAAAAGAAAATTAATTCAATTTTAAAACCAAAAACAAATAGTTTCAATGATGTTGATAAATGTGAGGTATTAATATAATTGAATTTGAATTTTTATTTGACATGTCATACTTAATTTCAGACATCACAGGTCATACATAACACTCCTAGCATATTAACCAATGTACTCAGAAAATAAATGACTGCGTTCTCCTTTTTCATGACTCCAATATCCTATAGTTTTTCTGGTGCTAAAAAGGGGCCATCAACTTTTTTGTTATAGTAGGTTGGATACAGTTTTTCCACTCTTTAAACTTAAAGAATTTCACAATATGTTTTGGCTATTTTTTTCCGTAAAGTTTATCTGCATTTCTTTATTATAAGAGAATATTTTAATGTTTATGCATATTAAATTAAAAAGTATATCCATTCTGAACTGAATGATAATGAAAACACAATACAGAAAATTCTGTGAAGTGCATCCTTTTGAATAAAATTTGAATATTTAAATGTGTACTACAGAAAAAAATAGATGTAAACTCTGAGATCAATGCTTTCATCTTAGAAATGGAAGCGTGAATTAAACCAAAGTAAAAAGAAGGCAGAAAATATTAAACATAAAAATGAAAATCAAAAAGTAGGAAATAATAGAAAAAAATTAAAACTAAGTGGAGTTTTTGGAAAGATTAATAAAATAGTTAAGCACATAGCACGAAAGATATAGAAAAACTGTTAGAGAATACAAAGCACCAATATTAGAAATGAAGGAGTGACATTATTACAAAGCCAACAGATATTTAAAAGAGTAATAAAAAGTTGTGATGAACAACTTTATGCAAATAAATTGACAATTTAGTTAAAATGGATAAATACTTTGAAAAAAATACCAAAATTGACATAAGAAATAATAGGATATCCAAAAATACCTATTTTCATTAAGAGATTAAATTCCTACACCCCTCCCCCCCAAAAAAGCTATCCGTAATTACAATTCTAGGTTCAAATTGCTTGCCTGTGGATTTCTTCAATCATTTAAGAAAGGGATAAAGACAATGCCAAACAAATGATTTATAGAAATAGAGAAGGAGATACCACTTCACAGCTCATTATATTTAGACATAATAATCCTGATAAACAAAACCGACGAGAACATTACAAGAAAAGAAAAGTACAACCTTGGCTCTTCCCCCAAGATGGCAACCTAGGTAGTCAACATCTCCATTTCCTCAAAAAACTTGAAAAAAAGAAGCAAAATAACAAAAAATAAAAGTAGTGCAACCAATGGACTCGAGGCTCTGACAACTCCAAGAAATAAGGTCACTGGCTGAAGGCAGAAGGAGAAGCAAAGTTACAAGTTATTCTCATGGGTTATGAGAGTTCCTCCTGTCCTGCCCCCATCTAAGCAGGGAACATTAGCACAGTGAGTGGTAGGCTGAGCCAGGTTAAGAAACACAGGTAGTGAGCTGGTAACCTCAGGTTAAGAAGAACTTAATTTTGTGGACAATCTGATACCTCAAAGTCTTAATATCTTACTGATGGCACTGAAGAAAATGGATCAACAGGGAGAAAATAGCCCCCTCCAAAATTCTACAAGGCAGGAAAATCTCTCTCTTCAGCACTTACAGAGTCCCTCCTGCTCCTCCCCCATCCAAGCCAGGATGCAGAAATGCAGTGAGAGGTGGTGGAGCCACTCAGAGAAACACAGAAACGAGACTGGCTCCTTAGGGATAAGAAAACTGTGAAGGAAATTGATTTAACTGATATTCTGATACCTCAAAGACCAAATGTCTCTCTAAGGGCAGCCAGGAAAAACAGATCTACAGGAGGAAGATAGCCCCCTCAAATACTACAAGGCAGGAAAATCTTTATCTCCAGTGTTTTAGAGACTCTTTCTTGCCCTGTTCCCATCTCAGCTGTGAGTCACAAACATAGTGAGACTCAGGTTAAGCCATTCCACAGAATTCAAACAGATAGCTGGCTCTTTATGATAAGGAGAACAGTGAAGGACTTAAAATTTCACTAACAGTCCAATACTTCGAATCCAAATAGTTTTCTGAAGTCAACAAATAAAATGGAACCACCGGGAGAAAACAGTTTCTCCCCCCTAATCTTACAAGGCAGGAAAATCTTCCTCTCCAATGCTTAAGAAAGTCCCCTCCTGCCCTACACCCATCCAAGCAGGGAATCTCAAGCAGAGCCCATGAAATACAAAAAAAGAAAGTTCTGGTGCCTTGCCACAGAAGAGGGGAGCGGAGCACAAGTCTCAAGAACAGTTGAGTCAGTGTTGGAAAACTTAAGGACAAGACTGCCCTCTAGTGGATTTTTTGGATACAGGGAGTAAATAAGGGGAAAGGAAAAAAAAAAACTCTCTAAATATATCTTGGAAAGAGAAGATTGTGAATCCCAGAATTACCAAAATATAATATGAAACGTCTCAGGTCCAAAAAAAAAAAAAAAAAAAAAAAGAAATGGCCCAATTAAAAGAAAACCATGAAGAAATGGAAATTAGTCCTATAGAGGCCAGCTTAGCGGAAAAATGGCAGACTCCCAGTCAACAATGTTAAAAATATTCAAAGAAAGCAAAGACTGCACAGAAAACAAACTAATAAGATCAAGAAACAAAATGAGAAACTCAACAGATGACAGAAAATGCTAAAAAGAACCAAAGAGAAATACTAAAAGTGACAAATAAAATAACTGAATTGGAAAATGCAAGGGAGGAATTCAGCAGTAGATTTGAGTGACAGAAGACAGAATAAGCTAACTAGAAGACATACTCAGCAGAAACTATGCAGGTAAGCAGGCAATAAGATGACATATATAAAGCCTTGAAGGAAAACAACTGCCAGCCAAGAATTATATATCCAGCAAAACTGTCTCTCAAATATGATGGCGAAATTAGGGCATTTCCAGATAAACAGAAGTTCAGGGAATTTGCAAAAACCAAACCCAAATTACAAGATATACTAAAGGGAGTCCTCTGGTTAGATAATCAATAACATCAGATAACAATGCAAGACTAGAATACAGGACAGAGCAACAAGATATTGACTCAGATAGGGAAATCAAAAATACATCAAAGCTAAAATCTTCAAAATAGGGAAACAGAGATATCAATATTAAAAAAAGGACAACATTAAAACAAAAAAGAGGGACTTAAAAAATGCAGACTTAGATTGTTCATATGGAGGGGAAGTCAAGGTGATACAAAGAAATAAAAGACTGGTATAAACTTAGAAAAATAGGGGTAAATATTAAGGTAACCACAAAGGAATCTAATAATCCTACAAACCAAAATAAAAAAGTATAAAAATGTAAAGACCCAGCAAACACAAAATCTACAAAAAGGAAAAACGTGAATAAAAAACACATAAAGAAAAATGACTTAGCACAGAAAATTAAGGGGAACAAAGAAACTGTGAACAACACACAAAAAGAGACATCAGGATGACAGTACTAAACACAGACCTATCAATAATTACCCTGAATGTAAACGGACTTAATGCACCAATAAAGAGACAGAGAGTGGCAAATTAGATAAAAAAGCACGATCCATGTATATGGTGCCTACAACAGATGCACCTTAGACTTAAAAACACAAACAGGCTAAAACTCACAGGATGGAAAAAATATAGTAAGCAAACAACACTCAAAACAGAGCAGGAGTGGCAATATTAATCT